TAGAATCGTTATGGTTGGAAAGGACCTCTAAGATCATCGAGTCCAACCGTCACCCCAACACCACCACGCCTGCTAAACCGTGTCCCGAAGTGCCACATCTACACGTTTTTTAACTCCACCACCTCCCTGGGCAGCCTGTTCCAATGCCTGACTGCTCTTTCAGTGAAGAAAATTTTCCCAGTATCCAATCTGAACCTCCCCTGACGCAACCGTTGCTTCACAATACTCGCTAATAGACTCTTAGCCTTTATGTTCTCATGTGGGTGCCTGTTATTCCCAGCCACGGGAACAGAATTCCCATTTCTTGGGACTTGGGGTATTTCTGCTGTGTCTGTTGCAAGATGGATGCGCTTTCATTAATATGGTGATGGTAAAGAGGCTGGAGGGCCTACAAGAAAAGGATGCCATGAAGTGGGCTGACAGCCGGACGAGTTGTTCCGGGGGAAGGTAGTGAGCGTAGCGTGCAGGCCCTGCATCAGATGCTGTAGGCTAGGTGACAGGGTTGGGAAACTGCATCCACGTGCTGTCTGTTCTCACTGCGTGAGGCTGTGCATCAGTAACCAGCAGTTACACCTCTCGTCTCAGCTAGAACTGCCCTGGGCCGCTGCTTCTTGATTAGACTTAAACTACTACAGAGACTTTTGTTTATTTTTTATTTCATACAGGGTGTGAATTTGATGCTTTGGGTCAGATGTGGTATGGACAAAGCTATAGGTAGCCCGGTCACATATTTTCTCAACTGCAAAGAAATTAATTACTGTGTAATGATACAATGTTTTTCCATTTTGAAAAAAAGTTGCTTTCCAAGAAGTACTTAGAAAAAGGAATATGCAGTCAGCTAAAGCTGACTAAGGAAATACCAAAAAGAAAAAGTTTGTGGCCAGCAAGTATTGTCTAGGTTTGCATACCCGCACTGTGTCATCTGTTACATTGGTTCATATGTGTGTGAAATATGTGAAGTATAATGTAATTGCAGCAATATAGCTATAATTTGTGTGTGTATGTATACCTTATTATGTATTTCATATACTTAGCTCTTTAGATACGGAAGGCTAGGAGCAAGTTTTGTCTGCGTGCACATAATGTGAAAGGCTTTTGTAAATTATATGTTGTCAATAACATAAATTTTTTAATCTTGTACTCTGAATGCTTTGAAGAGATGGAGGAGCTGGCAGAGCATGGTGTTTCCCTGCCTTATAACATGCAAGGACTGACAGATGAGCAAATCGAAGAACTGAAGTTAAAGGATGAATGGGCAGAGAAGTGTGTACCAAGTGGCGGAAGTGTCTTCAAGAAGGACGAAATTGGGCGAAGAAATGGGCATGGTAAATCAATCATAAATATTTGTTGCTTTCCCTGCAGATATAGGTAATCTATAATATAATGAGGAACATGAAAACCGTTAATTCTGGATCTTTCATTTTTACCTCACTGTCCTGGAAGACGAAAAAGAATTAGTAGATACTAAGTATATGTATTTCAGGTCAGCATGTTAGCTGGCTCATGTTTATTTGCTAATTATAAAAGTAGTCCTATAAATAAACTATATTAAAGGTAGTCATAGGTTTATTAAGTAGTACCTATTTCAGGAGCCAGCTTTCACAATAGATCAGCTGAAATATCAGTCACATACATAAGTCTTCTGTCTCAGGTTAGGGCCTGATGCAGTGATGATTTAAAAGCCTAAGCGGTAGTATATCTCTTCAGCACATATGTTGTTTAACTTTGCAACTGTAGTACTTGGAAGTAAACTCCCAAGACAACTAAACAATTATCAGAAGCAAATTTTACTGTTTCACTTAAATTTATTCTCCCTATTTGTAAATGCGTACTTGTGGGCTGTTTTTCTCCAGAGACTCCAAGATACATTAATAGGTTGTTTTTCTAATATTTCTCTTTTTTCTCATTCACTGTTTACTCAGACCTACTGAACTCACTCCTGTCACCTTTTCCTTCTGCGACTTCAGCCAAGTGATTTTGCCTTAGCACTTGGGGTGCGTATTGAGCACCACTTTACAGTCGAGAGCATGAGGGCTGATTGCACAGAAGAGACCGCAGTTGTCTTCTTGCTGTCTGTTTCTCTACTCCCAACACCACAACAGCCCTTGTCGGGTCAGGAGCCCTTTAGACGTTGATTGCAAAGCAGCTCAATTAAGGCAGAGTCTTTGAATAACTTAGTCTTAGCTTGTCATATGCAAACAGGTTACTCCAAGTGTCTCATTTTGCAGAAAGTAATTCTTCTAACGCAACATTTTGCCTGATCAAATTTAAGCCTTTGCTGAACTTGACTGAGAGCTTATATTATAGCTAAATTTTTTTCTGTCCTAACTGTGTTCTCGGAAATAGCCGAGTGTCTCGTGTGTAGGCGTGCAGACAAAGCCTGTCTTGTTTGGCATGATTGTGAGCAGTGTCAGGCCTTACAGCAAAAATTTGCAAGCAATGTTAACGTAAGGACAGTACCACTTGTAGTTGTACTCAGGCATTTATTTGTTAGTGGGAGGACAGCTTTGTAATATTAACAGTTATAATATTGAACAGCATGTAAATGTGGGCTAAACTAATTGCCATCAAATGATGCATTTAAGTGTTCAGCAGTGAATCAGTATGAGTTAATTGGATTTTTGTTTCTGAGGAGAGGCTTTCTGTAACAATTAAAACAGGTAACTATAATATGAAATGCACGTTGTATTCGCAAAGCTACGTTTGCTGTTAGACCGAAATTTTAATTGGGAAAGTCAGAAAACTCAAAGCTTTTGTCCCCTGTTATGCACATCTGCCAGCACAGCCCATAATAGTTGTAAGTACAGCATAGGAAAGAGTTTTGGTTTTGGTTGGGGTGGGTATGAGATCATGGCTGTGGCATTCTACTCAGTATTTTTGTCCCAGATGAAGTTCCAGATACCAATTACATGTGTTTGTGGAGAAGTAAGTTTGACTCTCCCACGAGAAATACTCGTTTGTTTCTTAAGGTCGTAAGAAATATGGCAATGAACTGTCAAAGTGGTAGATAGACTGCAACTTAATAGTGCCTCTCTTGCTTTGTGATGTAGCAGTTTCATATCCTTACAGCAGAGAATAACCTGGACAAGTCATTTTGGTTTCTTTGTAGTAAGTGTAGACCATTAAATACGTGTCTCTTCTTTTTAGCTCCAAATGAAAAAATGCAGCAAGTTATAAAGAAGACAATAGAGGAAGCCAAGGCATTAATCTCTAGGGTAAGTATCCTGAAGTAGCATGTGGTATGTGGGACTTTCTTAACAGGGGCTATGTAGCTGGGCAGCTTAAGGAAAAAATAGACTTCTTTCAGCGCAAGGGGTTTTTTTTGAATAATATCATGAAGTGATGTGAATAGTCTAGTAAAAGCTGACATTTCTGTCAATGATTTTCTTAATGGCTTTTGGCAAGCTGGTTCAACAAGTTAAGGAATCAGATATTAAACTGCAAGTGAACGCTGGCAGCTGAGACCACGTTGAATGATTAAACACATTTAATTTTGTCCACACACTCTTAATTTGCTATTGATGCATTCTTTAGGCAAATGCTTGTCGTGTTTTCTGGTGAAAAGTTAACTGCATTCTGTGATGTTCCTGGAATAAAATACCTTTTGCTGTTTAACACAGTCTTTTGAGTTTTATGAATAATTAATTGAAAAATGTGTTCCAATCTCTTAGATTAGTCCTTGATTTTACAAGCACTTGGACTTGTGCTCAGACCCGATGAGTTTTTAAGTTTAAAGATAAGCGTGAGGGTGTGCCCTGGAGAGACTATGGTTTTAATTATTCAGCTTCACCTTACCAAATCTGTAGATGCTCTTTATTGTGTCTCAGCTTTCATATGACTTTGAAACACAAATTCAATAATATTTATTATCGGATTGGGTTTTTGTTGTAAACAGCTGCAAGTATTTTTCTTCTTCTCACCCCTACAATTCTGGGAATTAGTATGTGTGGAACTTCTGCAACAGCTTTATACCAGTTATGCAAATAGATAATGTTACTGAATTTTTAGTGTTTCCTGTGTGCTTAAATTGGCCTTCTTGGCTGTTTTGTTGCGGATGACTGTCGTATACGTGATTCAGAGTGAGCAGCTCAGTGTTTGCAGAGGCCTCATGGAGGCAAGCAGAGGAGCTGCCCTGTTGGCTGGCAGCACTTCCAGTGCGCGGAGTTGCAGCAAACCTTTCCTGAATTGAGGCAAGATTTCAACCAAACTGTTCTGAGTTGTAGCAAAATCTATGCAAAGTGAGAGAGGTTTCAGATTAAATCTTCTGGAATATAAAGATTTTCTTTATAAGAAGGTGGTCTTTTTTTTCTGTTGGATTGCATCTCATCAACTGTATTTCTAAAAAAGGAGGAAATTAATGATGTGTAGGTTTACTTCTTGAGCTGAAAATACTTGAAGATCTGGTCTCCACTTTGCAAGTCTTCCTGGGTGAAACTTCCAACTGTATACCATATTGTCATTTACAATAAAAAATTGCAGAATTGCCATGCTGCATGCTGACTTACTCCAGAAATTACCGCCATTCACTGGTGAATGAACTTAAGGATAGTTTTATGACATGATTTGTTAGATTCATCACTTCATAATGATGAAAGTGAAGAAATATGCCTGTGTATTAAAAAAAAAAATAAAAGAAGCTTGGTCATCTGAGATTGGTTGTACTTGCCAGTTAAGTAGCTGAAGAATGTCCACAAGGAGGCAACATTCTCGTACTCTCTTTTTTATAAACCTTGCTACTTAAAACATTGGAACTGTTAAATCCATAAGCAAAAACCTTTTCTTCTCTTCCAGATGTGCCTTGTTTTTCCTCTATCCAGAGCAGTAGGGTTTGGAGTGGTCTCAAGTATTTGATCTTACAGATCTCTGCCTAAGCTGTGCAATATGCCAAGCTTTACTCTTCTGCTCACATGTGCTCTATTTTTCCTGAAGCTTTCGGCCCCTTCTGTAGCTCTCACTTGAATTCATTCTGCTGTTTTTTGAATATTGTTCATGAATCCCAAGTATTTGGAACAAAAGACTCCCAGTTTCTGTGGTCACATGCGTACCTACTTGAACAGCTGTATCCCACAGACTTTTGTTACTAAATGCCTCCTGGACAGTTTGGTGAAGGTATCTCACACACACACGCAGTGTAAGCAAGCTAAATGGAGGGGGCAAAAGAGTAGTGATGTATTCAGAAGTCAGTGTTCTAAAGAGAATATTTGTGCTCCTAGTAACTTTGTGCAGCCAGTTAGCTTTACTCAAATATCCCACTGTGGAACCTTTGAACTGATTACAAAGCAAGGTCTTACTTCATATTTTCTTAAATGACCAGTGATCCCTACCTATATTTCAGAAACAAGTTCAGGCCAATGTGTGTGTTACCATGGAGATGGTGAAAGATGCACTGGACCAGCTCCGAGGGGCTGTGATGATTGTGTATCCGATGGGATTGCCTCCACATGATCCGGTTAGGATGGAGTTTGAAGATAAAGAAGACTTGTCGGGAACTCATGTATGCAGTAAAGTATTTGGATTGTATGTAGTGCCTGGGTTAAATGTGTGCTATGCCGTTCTCCATTTTATCAGTGGAGGTTGTTTTCATTTACGTGACAAATTTTGTTTAATATTTTTGTCTGATAGTGTATGTAAAAGCACACCAGTTGCTTAACTAGAAATAAGATGAATGAAGTTTATTTCAAATACTACATACAAAGTAGAGTTCAGGTAAGTCTTGGGCCCATTTTACATGTCGTTTCTTTCTAATGCCAGTATTGACAATTTATTGCCCAAAGTGTTTGTGTTAGATGAAGATTGAATGGAATATGAATTAAAATTCTGTAGATCAGTATGGGGAGAAAAATATAGCAGAAGTGTAGTGTAAAATCAGGTGAATTACATTGGTCTTTCTGTTAAGAATTCCAAAAAGATTTTCTGGGAAAATTTTTCTGGTTTTGAAAAAAGCAAAAACCAACACCCCCTCACCCCCCAAACACTTCACCTTGTTTCTTTATTTGTCACAGGCTGGACTTGAAGTTATAGAAGAATCAGAAGCACAACTATGGTGGGCAGGAAAGGAGTTGAAAGAAACAAAGTTGCTGTCTGACTACGTAGGCAAAAATGAGAAAACAACGATCATCGTCAAGATACAGAAAGTAAGCATTGCTGGAAGATTTCCTTACACCTTTGGCTGTCTGATTCTCTGTGGAAGAGAATTGTCAGTGGGTGTATAAAAGGGATTATATTAGTTCCATCTTAAGTGTCTTAAAGCTGTACAGGTATTTTAAGGTTTTAATTTGTTATATTCTAAGTTTTTCTTTAGTAATTCCTTTGCCTGTTAGTTAAATACTGTAGTTGCTACTACTCCAGAGCACTTTTCTGAAGTACAGCTGAGGTATTTAAAAATAGATGAAATACAAACTGAAACGTTTAACTAACCTCAGCAAGCTCTCAGTTCCATCTCAGTGCAGAGCACTTAACAGACGCAGTCGTTCAGGCTGCCCAGTTTTTCTGATTGTACTTGTGAATGTTTTTCTCTCCGTGTTCTGGCCTTTGAAAAACAGTTTTAGTGTTCTCTGCATGTATTTCATCCCCATTTCAGTCTGTTCCGTGTCTTAAAGACAGTGTCTGTAAAACAGTAATTTCCTGCCTGTGATGTCCTCAGCTTCCTGATCGCAGATCCTCAGACTGTCTCGGTTGCCTTGGAAATGTGGACATGCATCTTCTCTGAGAGGGCGCGGGTTGTGGAAGAGCCTGATGTTACGCTCTCCCAAAGCGTTCAGTGAGAACTCACTGAATGCTGTCAGAAAGAACAAGCTGCTGGGCCTGCACCACCCAGTTATGCTATGCTGTCGGCTCTAGCTTGCCTAAAGCTCCCACCTGAAATTTTTTTGAAGAAATGAGACTTTCCAGTTGTTAGAGATGGTGAAGCAGATGAGACCTTCTGTATTAATTGTGAACACAGGTCTGAGTCACCCTCTGGAGTAATGAGCTAAAATGAGGCAAAGATCTCCCGCTGCTGCTCAGTTTTATAGATGTGATGCTTCAGCAAAAGCCAGTCATTAAGTGTAGGTTGGTGTCTGACACAATGATCATGTTCTTGCAATATCAGAATTGGTACCAAGCTACTGGGACTGTTCATTATTTTTATGGACAAAATTATTTGTACTAACTGTGCAGTTGTGCTCATCTCAGGTGAAAATGCCATACTCAAGGGAAGAATGTTTGGTGTTTCCATTCACTTTCAGAACTTTGTTAGAAGATACTCACCCTGTTCGTGTGTGTATATATATATATATATGTATGTAAAATCATATTCAGAGGGTGCTTTGGTGAATGTCAGATGTCTCAGAGTACTTATCCATAGCTCAGAGTTATTCTGGAGCTGCATTTCACTTCCTTGTCTAAAGGGAGCTTCTCTGCTACAGAAAGCATTAATGTTGTGGCAGAGATTGTTATCTGCAGGTGTCTGCAATAGAATTCCTCAAAGATAAGTCAAGTGATGTATTTGTCGCTTGGAAGACCACAATTGCTTTCTTTTTCCTATCAGAAGGACTGAAAAATTGTGTGATAACAGCCGTTGAAGTGTAGGCTCCCAGCAAAGTTGTCTTACTGTTTAATTAGCTGATGGACCTCTTCAGGGAATGTGAAGTAGAAAGGTGGTTTTCTGTCTGACAAGGGATGCCTGCATTCTTGGGTTGGAGAGATAATTTAAACCACCGTGGATCCTTTTTCTTCTAGAGAGGATTCACCGTCTCCATTCAGACTGTTCTGTTTGCTATTGTTGACAATAGCAGTCACCAGCTATTTTCTGCTGTGTGCATTATTTCTTCCATGAGGACAGTTGCCTGGAAGGAAATAAAAAATCTTTATTTGTAGTGTTTTGTAACTGCCTTCCTTCCCTGCTTTACTAAGTCGTATGCCATCTTGAGTCTGTATTAGCAGGGGAGCTAAAGATGGATTGTGAGACATCTAGAATGGCCTTAAAGCAGAGAGATTTATTATGTCTTTTAGAGCGGAAGTGTAAGTAAAATAGACTCAGTCCTGCTTGCAGCTGCCGTTGATGTTCACAAAATTGACAGCATGATTCAGATGCTGAGATGAAAAAATAATTCTCACTTGAATGCAGCAGAAGTTTCTCAACATTTATTTTCCTGTCCTGATTAAGTTTGAGAAATCCTGCTGTCTGAAGATCTTTGCTATCTTTGCATAGCGGCTTTTCTTCTGTATTGCAGATGCATCATAAATAGAATTTACGATTTCCCTTTCAGAAAGGACAAGGAGCTCCAGGGCGTGAACCTCCGATTAGTCATGAAGAGCAAAAACAGATGATGCTGTATTACTACAGGAAGCAGGAGGAACTTAAGGTAACGGTGTCTTTTTAATGCATGTGAGCTGTGCTGTTGTAGGCCCTACCCACGGGTTACGTTGGTTACTGCCTGCTTAACCTGTCGGTTCTGTTTACAGAAACTGGAAGAGGATGATGACGACTCATTTCTAAATGCTGAGTGGGCAGACAACCATGCTTTGAAAAGGCAATTTCATGGTGTAAAAGACATCAAATGGGGGCCAAGATGAAGCTCTGCAAACACCTTTTTGCCTCTTTAAGGTGTTCAGTCAATACACTTGTTTGCAATGAGGAGTTGTATTGTGTGCGGTAGGTTCTTCTGACAAAAGCTGAAACTGTCACTTCTGTAGCAGATGCCTGTTTCAGCCTTAGGTTTTCAGTAAATGTTTGTATTTCTGTGTAACTGTTGCAGCACTTGTCTCTGCAAAGAACAGAATCAATCTTGTTGAAGTTTGTTATTTTCTTAGAAACTTGTAATTTGAATATTGAGATATTAAACTATTTCATAGATAATATGTCTAGTAAATATGCACTAGAATGTTTGGTATTGTTTTGAGTGGTCTTTATACTTTCTTCCTGATTCTTGTGTTTCTTTTCGATGGTACAGTCTGTAGAAGGTAATTTATTTTGTAAGAAATTAGTTGTGTGCTTGTTTGCATTTCAGCATAGCTAATTTCAAACTATCATTTTTAAATGAGTTGACCTCTTGACAATTGTTTAAAGTAAGTATTTTTGTATAAACACAAATAACATGAAAATCATTTGGGAATGCTTCATTTTCATTCTTTTGATTTAGTTTTCTTTGACATTGGAGGCCATTCTCATTCAGTTTAACAAGCTGTTAGCTGTGATGCTTTTGTAGAGAGATTGACACAAATCTGTTTACAAAAGTAAGCATCTCTTGCAAGTAGATTAGATGCAATAAAAGGGCAAGATCTTTAACATGGAAGTGCTTCTACGATTGTCACTGGACTGGCAGTGTTTTGCTTCTAACAAAGCAGCATTTTAAAATGAGAAATTGTTAAATTTATCGGAGAATGTTTCCACTATATGCTTGGTGATGACAATCCTGTTACTGTTTCTGAAATGTGTTGTCAGTCAGTTCTGGGTTCAAGACTTAGGAAGGAAATGCTGGCAGACTTGAAGCAAATACATCTTTCTGAAGGGAGGATTCTGATTTGGGATACTGTATGACTAGTGGATAATTAGATCTCTAGAATTACCTAAATAGATAATGTTTAGAAACAAGTTACTCAGGTTTTGCATGTTTAGACTGCTGTGTGCATTAAAGGAGATGCTTTTCTATGGAGGCAGATGTGCATCCTCATGAGGTTGCTGAGCCTGGAAAGCCAGGGTGCCCTGAAACTTCTGCGTGAGGATCAGTTGTGTGTTTTAAGAAGAGGTGAACCAATGTGGGCACTCACATCCAACAACTGAAATGCTGTCTTCGTTCACACCCCGAAGCAGTAGTCCCCAGGGCAGCAGGGGGCTGAGAAGGACCACCACCTCAGTTCTGCAGTGCAGAAAGGCAAGCCAGCTGAGGACGCTGGGTTTGTAGTTTGCAGTAGACTTCAGGACACCAAGTTGCCCCTGCACGCGTCCGCCTGAGCCAAACTACATCATGTTTGCAAACTATGTCAGTCTTAAGAACAGGCAGTTGCTCATCAGCACATAGTTTACGTCAAATTTTAGTGTGAAATATTTTTTGCAGGTGCCACGTAACGGCACTGTGGTGCTAGGGCTGCTCAGCAACTCTGGAAGTCAAATGGGTTACGTTTGCTGTCTGAACTTACACCCGCACTTGACATTTTTCATTGATAGTTTTTTTTCTCTTATTCATGCCCTAATCTTTATGTCAGGGGGACTTAGTGGCAGAGACGTTGGCAAACACAAACGTCAGAGAAATTATCAACCAGAAGCTTCCTGCCTTGCCAAACTTGCCAGTGCAACAAGATGGAAGTAAATGCTGTGGTCATTGACTGTCCCTTAAAAATACCTGTCCCTCTCCAGATCCCTGGATCTCAATAATTCTGGCTTAAATCTCGCTCCTTGTTTGAGTCATTGTAAAATAACAAAGAGAAAGTGTTTTGCTAGTCGTTTTTTTATGATGAAAAGATCATCATTTTCTGTAAGTGTGGTTGAAGAAACACTGGTCAAGTTAAACTGAAGTCTTTGCAGCTGGAAGATTGAGTACAGAAAAGAGAATTAATGGCATTCAGTGAACTGTTGGTGGTGGTTTTACTTCAATCACTGATTCTGTTAGGAGTGTTTTGTGTCTGGTAATTTTCTGGAATATCAACTTTACAGTAACATGTTTTTTACAAAAAAGAATCTGTATGTGGGACTTTTCTAAGTGGCAAAACTTCGAATATTTCATATTTCAAAACTACTTGGAATTATTTTAATGTGTTAAGAAAATGGAGCAGGATTTAAAAGAACACCTTGTTCTGCCATGCTGTCAGATGAAAGTCAGTCCCCTGCACAGTTCTTTGGAGATTTTTAACCGTTTCTGTAGCTGAAGGCTTTTTTTCTAGTGTGCTGCTTTGCCATCATCAAAGGGTGGAGTGAAGAAAATCTGGAAATACTTAGTTACTTAATATCACTGGCATCATTGTAACCCACAGAGATATGATGAATCTTCTCAATGCATAAATGGGGTTTGGCAGCACCAAGTGAAATCGTTAGAAAAGCATAAAATTCATTGATTTCTTGTACAAGCTGTTAGTCGCTTAGCTCCAGCTCCTGATGAGTCCTGCTGGTTGTAAGAGGCCCAGGTTGCCAGAGGTGTTGCTGTGGCTTTTACGGGGGCTTCTACAGATACAAAACCTCTCCCTCCTCTCCCCTGCTCTTAGTAGGTTTCACAGGGATGTGTACGAATGCTGTCTGAGGGCCCAAATTTCAAAACGGGTTCAGGAGAGTATTTATTTTGTTGGGGCAATTATGTATATCCTTCCAAAAAATCAAAGTAGTATTTATAGATCAATGACTTAGGGTTGTTGCACACTTGTTTTCCTCTTTTCCCGCAATGTTCTAAAATATTTACATCCTTTTTGTAGCCAGAAAAAAATGTAGCCTTGTGTATAGCCTCGTGAAGCGGGTTGTGTGGCAGCCTGGCACATTTTGTATCCAGGGAGGAGTTACAACCTGGCAGTTCCCAAACTTGATTCCCCCGGGGATCACTTTGTTTCTCATGGTGCTTATGACAACACTTCCCCCTCCTCAAAATCTTGTCTTTTCTGTTTACCAGGCCACTGGGACGGCCAGCTGCGCCGTGTGGGTTTTGTCCTGCCGACCTGGCAGGGAGATTCCCGAAAGACGGACTGGCCATGAGCTACCCGCTCTGGAGATCCACTCGGGCACCAGAGGTTGCAACGTGACCTTACCTGGCTGTATTTGTTTATGGGCATTTATGCACCCCAGTACTTAGCTGCCGACTCCCCGTTGTTTGAAAGTAGCTTGTTTTAGTTACTTTGTCATAACTGCACTGAGATTAGTGGCCTTGGCAGGAAGCTTCCCAGATGTTTTGGATCAGTTATAATGAATGCTTGAAAATATCCAACTGAATCCCTCTTACAAATAGAGCTTTCATCTTAGATTAGTCTTATTCCAAGGAGTTTGTTCTGTGGGCTCCCAGTCCTGTAAATAACTGAAGTCACCGTTGGCTTTTGGCCATTTGATTTAATGTCCTTGATACCAGGAAAGTATTCAATAGCAGAGGAGGCAAAATGAAAATAACATGAGCAGTAAAGTATCCATACTCCCCAGACCTCGCTCGTGAAACCCCACTGCACGTCCACAACAGCAAACAACCAGCTTTCCATGACAACTGCCACACGCTGCCCGCACCTTCCCCCCCACAGGGTTCTCTCTGCAGCTGGTGTACGTGTCAGAGAAGCCCGGGAAGCTTTATTGTATTTCCCAGACTTGTTGAGAGTTATTGTTTCAGTGAAAAAGAGACTTAACTAAATTACCATTACGTGGAGGATTCCGAGGGGGGGGCGTCTGAACAAGACCTTTGATTGCGGTGCTTTTAATATTGTCATTTCCTCTCTAAAAGCGAGGGAAGATCAGGCATAGGAAGTTATTAACGCAGAAGGAACTCCATTTTATTCGACGGACCTTCGACTGCTGCTCTCTGCTGTAATTAGCAGTTTTCTTGTGTAGCTGAGCAAACAGCCCACGGGATCAGCGCTCTCCCCAGTTCTCACAACAGCGTCTGTGGATCCGCTGGGTTCCTGTGAGGTGGCTGGAACTGAATGAACTTACCGGACGGAGAAAGATGAAAGAGTACAGGAACAAAGCAAAGCCTATGGATATTTGAATATCTAAAGAATTTGAGAGTTATGAGATAGGAACACCGCACGTAGGTTTGCAAATTTGTGAAAGCATTTTATCTTTCTTCTAAACCGTTTATTTCTGAAGTTTGATAGCAGCTGTGCCCTTCTAGAGGGAAAACCAGTTCACTACCAAAGGACACGCACAGCAGAACGTTGCTAAAATGTTTATTTTGTGGCCATATCACCATCCCGATTAACGGAAATGCGTATTACGTGTTGTGGGTGTTGCTAACGCAGTTACAGTCCTTGGCGTGCTGTTGAGGTTTCCTCGGACAGGAGCATGGGAGGAAGCAAGGCGCGGGGCACAGCTCTTGTTCCTGCTCAGCACCGACAGCTGTGGGAGCCGGGAGTCTGCAAAGGACAGGGAAAGCGGAGGACACTCATCGCCAAGGTCTCCGTGCCGGCAGACAGGAGGATTTCCCGGCGGCCAGTGGGCTCCCGTGCCTGTCTGCTCAGGCACACCCATCCTGGAGGAAGATGCGATGGGTTGCCTGCCCGGTTGTCATCAGTGGCACTCGCTCCTCCGGCTGTCCCCGTGCTTGCCCACCACCTCAGGGCACGGGGAGACGGGGCGGCAGTGGCCGGGGTGCCTGCGGGCTGTCCCCTCCTTGCCCCCCGGCCCCAGCTGCCTGCCTGTGCTGGGGACACGACTGAGCTCATCCAGACCCACCTGCCCGCCCGTGCCGAGGGCTGTGCGTGGCCCTGGCCCGTGCTCCGGCGAGTACGGGACGTACAGCCGTGACAGCGGGCTTGTGTTGAGAATGAGGAAGTTTGTAGCAAAAATAGGAAATCTCAGACTTCCTTAAGGGAAACAAAAGGTAATTATTGTTTCATTCCAAGGGTTACCTTTGTGAGAGTGGCTCTCAGCAAAGGCTGAGTAATACAGCCGAGTACTTACAATGTTGCAGTTAAAAATTGTTGTGTGGGAGGTTTTTTTTTGCCCTGGTGATCAGCACAGAGCTGCCACGCGTTACTGTGTGCGGTTCTGCGGCCACCGCTGTGTAGGCAGTGGGGTATTTCACACCACCTCTGCTTCGTCCCTCACCCCCACACCAGCTCCTGCGGTTTAGGGGTTCAACCCATGGTTGTCCCCAGCGCAGTGGTCAGTCCGAGTTGGTAGCTCTGTCTCTTCCCACCTCTCCCTCCCTCGGCAGCGTCCTGCGGCTCGTTCAGGAAAGGACCCGTCGCCTCTTTCCTGGTC